GGACTGGGTTATCCCATAATCTATACTGGCACTATAGCTGCTAAGTAATTTAAAGTGAATGCTGTGGAAATGATGATGTATGCTATCAATGGCTGTGAACACAGCTGTGTTTCATCAATCTCTATTTCCCATGAGACAGAGAACTATCAATGACTTTTACACATTTGATGTCAGCATTTGGGTAGGTCTAATTATTTTATGGAGTTTTGCTTCAGTTATTCTTATGGTTTTTATTCAGTAGAAAGTGAGGCACTGTTATTGTAATAGCTAACAAAGAGAAATCTCAAAAAAAAATATCTACTTTGTTCATAGGAATTGAGATATAAAGTGACCATATTCCACTTTTTGACTGACTTTGCTATTCTGTCATTCATCAGATGACAGCTAAATCAGTTCTGTTCCTGACTGACAAGATATCCAACATCTGGGATGCTCAGCCATTGCACCATTCCAGACCAACTTCTGCTTGGCTGTGAATTGCCACTTCTCTAATTTTTTTCCCTCTTTCTGCTTCTTCTTTTGTTCTAAGAGGTGTTTCTTTATTTACATCTTTTTACCTTGACACCATATTAAATTAATTTCCAGTAATAACTCTCTTTTTCCAAATGAAAATTCTCTTAATCCTCACCTCAAGCTGTGGGAAGAAGTTACCTCAAGCTGCAGCTCACTGACAGCTAATAGTCCCCGTGACAAGGTTCTCATGGTGCTGCACTAAATGGACAGAAAAATCTGAAATTATTTGATTCTAAGGTTGCTGTATGGTGTCTTTCAAAGTTACAGACCCAAAAAGGAGCTTTGATTTATTGCAACTTAATTCAGTTGTAACGCGGGGCAAAAGGCTTGATTGCAGTCATTGTAAGGCACTGGATGCAATACTACCCTGTTCCCACGTTACTGGTTTTCTCTAGGAGCTGCTGCCAGACTGTAGTACACACACAGCGTACTATGAAATGTTCTAGTGGAACTCTTGTTTTCTAGATCAGGCTGTGATTTATCCCTGCTGGATGATTTAAAGCATTTCATATACTTGTATATATTACTTTATTATAGGCCAGTTCTGTTTATCAGTTTCTCATACACAAAAAAATAAAACTCTCATACACTTCTCATAACACCTTTACAATGCATATCACAAGTATAACATCATTTCAGCTCAAGCTCCTGTGTTTTATTTACATCTACCTGTCAGACCCAAAGTAGGAATGCTCACTTACACTTGATCATATTTTGACTTCATGTTAGACTGTAGAAACAATATGAGATCTCCACAGGAAAGAGAAAAGGGGAAAACTGTGTACTTATGGGTTTTTTCCTCAGTTTTAGTATTAAAGATCCCTATCTGGAGCTGTTTATTTAGGGGAAAAAAATTAATATTTCTGCTATATTTAGACATATCAGTGCAAGTAGGAAAAACATCTCACTTCTGTTACCTTGGTGATCATTTTTAATACCAATTCTGCTGCTTACAGAATTAGTAAATTCTGCCTCTGTTTTTTGGATCACTTCTACCTTAATCTCTCTCCTTCTTAGTCCAGAAGTCCCTAGTTTTGTCTACTATTTAAGTGAAGAGTGCTTTTCATCTGTAAGCACATTAGGCTGGATATTGGACTGTATTGTTTAGTATGTCTTGGTGCAAACCAAATATACAGTATGGGTGGGATGATGCAAACTGATGGGTTGATGTGCACAAACATAGTTCAGTTCTGAATCTAGTAATGAATTATCTAAGTAAGTGTTATGGTGTGGGTGGCTCCACAAAGCACATCTTACTTGAAAGTTGTGATGTTTTGGCACACTGGTGAAATTTATGAAACCAGAGGTGGGTTTTTCAGTAACTGCATCACATTTTGTAGCATAAATTATAGACCTGAAAAAAGGCAGAAAAGGCAATAAGCAATATTTGGGGTTTTTTTTTGGTTTTTTTAAGCATTGCTGGGCTTTGGTCCAAATACTAGGTATAATTTTATCAAGCTCTTTGTAAATGTCTTTCAAAAATAATTACTTCTGCTTGTCTTTTGCAAGTGCGTAGATATATGTCTCCCCAAGTAAGCCCAGAAAGAGACATAGAAATCTCTATAATATACTAGGATTTGACTTGCAAGGAGAAGTGAGTTATTAAAAGAAATAGTAGAAAAATGAAAGAAAACCTATGCCTTTAATGAATGGAATAAAGGAGAAAAGAGAACATTGATTTAATCTATTGATTTGCTGTGAAGTAAAAGAACAGATGTTTTCTGTTAGGTCCCTGGATAAAATTCAGTAGGCGCCACTAATACTTACGGACTGGTGACTTCTGATAAGATTGAAAATTGATGTCTGTTCTATTGTTACCAAATGGATATGGCAGGTTATTCTACTGTAGGTGACTCATTTCAGAGTACTTTAATACAGAAACAATATCTCATTTTCCTAGACCGAGACAAAAACAAGAAATGTTTTGCCAACAGTTTTCAGCTCCAAAGACATATCAGCCATAGAGAATTTAATATTTTAGGTAGGTAGTGGAACATGTAAAGCTCCTCTGTTGTAGGTTTGAATCCCTTTGGATGCCTAGAGAAAGGGCAGATTATCTTTATTTGCCTGATTTCTGTTTGTCTATCACCTTTTTGAATGTCTAATTCAATCATCTACAGAGGTGCTCAGGGAGATGTGATTACATTTGTAGAGGTGTTGGAAGAAAGTTCATTTCAGCATTGGCCCAGTTTATCTGACTGCCTCTCCTTCGACAGATCCAAACATTAAACAGATCACATTTAATGGAAGTTCAAAGGCTTTCCCAAGAGGTTCTGAATTCTCTGTGATCAGGGGAAAAAAAAGTTTCTTGTTTGCCTTCTTGGAAACAACTCAAAGCAACATAATTTTGGAATTCAGATTGTCCCATAGTGCTTTTTGAGAAACCTGTGCAAAGTTTGCTGAGGTCAGTGTAGAAGTTCCCAGATGTCTGATCAGCTTTCAGGCAAGGAGAGCAGAAAATCCGTGCAGAACACCACGTGAATGCAAACAAAGCACACGTGTGATGTGTGTGTTATACACATCCACATGCCTCTATATATACACATATACATATATGGATAAGGCAAAGGATTTGAATTCTTGCTTTCAATGTGAAATCCACTTCAGATACTGCACTACTGGTCAGGATCTTTCTGCAAAGTGACTGGAACCTTTTCTTCACACTTCTCTTACAAGGAAGACTGGAAACCCTTCCTTCTCAGCTTCCCTGAGATTTTTGGTGTGGGGCTTTTGTGTATAGAACTACATGTACTCATCCACTGTATTTATTGTCTTGCCTTCCTGCTGTTTCTGTGCCTCCTGAAAGGTGCTGTAAGCTGCATAGGAGAAGTATTTAAAATAACAGTTTGAAAACTGAGTTTTCTTGATGAAGTGACCTCTAAGTGTGTTCTTGGACTTCTTAGTTTTGCAGTTCAGTTTTTTTGCAGTAGCAGATGCCCTAAAAGGACAGGCAAATCAGATTTTGGTATCATAAACAGAAAGTTGTCATGGCAACTGTGGGACTCACCTGCAAGATGTGGGGTGTAAAACATGGTACTTGGACTCCAGCCTGGGACAGATTAGTTCCTACTTATGGGTGAAATTTGTGGAGAAGACAGAAAACCTATAAAGGCCTCTAAGGCTCTTAATCAGAGACTTACGTAGCATAAAATGATATACTCTTCTAAAGACTTGAAGAAATCAAGAAAGAATTTGAGAAAGCATGGCATAGTTTTGATGTGATGTCTTAGGTATGAGCTAGTCAATATTGTTTATAAATTTCCCCTTTCTACTTCATCAGGTCAAAAATTATGTTGACCTCCAGAACACTGCTAACTAGTTAAAATGATTCTAAAATATAACCCAGCTGATGTGTAATAGGCATTACAGACTTGGAATGAAGTCAGATGAATGGAAACATAATTTAATTTTCCAAGTTTCTTTTACTTTTTAAGTATTTGAAAAGTCTCATTATAACAGATTCTATACAGTGTTTGACTCTCAGCTGTTAGGCAGATTCAACTCTCTGAAGAGGTTTTCCTGAGAGGAAAAAGAGCCTCATTGAGAAATGGGTAATGTTCCTTATTCTTATTGAGAATGCTATAGGATTTTTAGTTGCTGTATGATCAACTTTACTTAGAGAGACATTTGTAACCTCCTACAGATGCTAACTGTGGTCTTGTGTCAGTATTATACATCACTCTATGCTCAAATTTAAGCCATTCACTTGTTCAGTCGAACTCACCGAAATTAGTAAACAGAGGTGAAATTATTCACATGCTCAGTTTAATGCTAAGTATTCTTAAATTTTGAAGGACAAAAAATTTTAAAATCATCTAATCAGGCTCTTTGCACAATTCAGGCTGTAAATGATCAATATGTGTTTTCCACAGTGCTTCAGGAGCTGTCTGGAATCATAGAATAAGGATTTTTTAAGGATTTCTACTCTCGAATTGAAGGTTTCCAGTGGTGGACAGTCCATGATGGTGTGTATTGACTGCTTGAATGGTTAAGCTTTGCTCAGAAAAGATGCACTTCTGATTTTAATCTGAATTTTTACAGATTCAGCCACTGGATCTTTTATTTTATCTGCTTGGTTCCAATGGCCTTTATCCTTTTCTTCTCAAATAGGCATGCAAGAACATCAACCTACTCCTCTCTAACCTTCCTTGTGAAGAAAGCTATCAACTGTATTGCGAGACCTTGAATAATTCTTTTACTTGCCTTGTTAGCCTGTTCCAATTTTGTTATGTTTCAAATGCGTTTGCTCACTCTTCTAAATTGGGAGCAATGTGCTTTGCCTGGACAGATAACTTTCTGATGAGCAACAGTGTGTTGACGCTCAGAAGCATGAGCAGTTTGGTTCAGATAAGGACATAAAACTCCAGACTTGTAAACACACTGTATTCCAAGCTCCTCGCGCTATTTCAGATATGTGCTGTCCGTCCAGACTCTGCACGAGAAAAGCTCCCTGATGTTGTAGCAGAGATGCAGTAGAAGATATGGAAACAAGCAACGAAAATACATGGGAATGACAATAGCTGCGCTCACAAATTCTGTACTTCTATTTAACGAGGAGAGCAAGGCCTATTGTGCAAGGCTTGAGTTGTTTTGACCCCCGGATTCGCTAACAGCATTTGAGACCACATCACGTCTTGCAAGGCTGGGTGCTATGCCGACAGAAAGCTGAAACAGAAACAAAGAGTTTTAAGCGCTAGCAAGGAATTCATTGGAAAGGCACGCACTAATCTTTGAGTACTCATTTACAGCCTAAATCTGTGTCAACAAAATAATTTCATACTGACAATATGAAGTCAGTCAAATGACTTGGCTTTGTCTGTGACTAATCTAGGAGAAATTACAGAATTATCCAAGTTCTGGCATCCAGTTTTCCGCATGCAGAAACCCTGTCCACCTCTTCTATCTTTAGAGTTTGTCCCCCGGAGTTCAGGTCAACCATCCATATCAGATTTGCACTAGAAACTTGCTGAACTGACTCAGGTTTCCTGCCAGGAATATAAATACATTATCACGAGTGTCTTGGAAGGGTATTGATACTTCTAGCTTATGCTTACAAACAGGGATTCGATTATATATTCCACTGGATGTCAATTCATGCCGCTGCTACGGTCTTTAAAGGGGCAACCGTACCAGCGTTCCCTGACGTGCCGCTGAAGTCGGGGCTGCCATTCTCCCAGATGCCACCAGATGGCAGCGCTTGCTGTGAACGAGCACCGGTGCCCGCGGGGCGGTGAAAGACCCTCCCGGCCTTAAAGAGTGGCTTCCTCTTGTTTCGGCTGACGATTTGGACCTGCTCGGGTGATCAAGATGAGATCTGATAATACACGGAATAAGAATAGTGCCCTTTTTATGTGTTAAAAGCAGGCAGCATCCCTCTGCGGAGTGGAAAAATTGAAGAGCTACATTCTTGTCAAATGAAGTCAATGAGAGCCATTGGTAATGTCAGGATCCTGGCTGTTTCCCAGGTGCAGGAAAAAGGTTTGGGGAGAACCAGGGAAGATGTCTGGCATGCTTATTCATGGAGCAGGCCTGGAGGCAGGCCAAAGCAAGGTAACATCTCTCTGGCGACCAGTGACAGGACCTGAGGGAAATTTTGTCAGAAGAGGTTCGGGTTAGAGATTAGAAGAAGGTTCTTCACCCAGAGGGTAGTTGGGCACTGGAACAGGGTCTCCAGAGAAGTGGTCACAGCACCAAGCCTGACAGCTTTCAAGAAGCATTGGGAAAATGCTCTTCGGCACATGGTGTGACTCTTGGGGATGGTTCTGTGCAGGGCTAAGATTTGGATTCAATGACTGTTGTGGGTCCCTTCCAACAGAGGTTATTCTTGATTCTATGAAAGCAGACACTATTGGAGAAATTAGAGACCAATTCATCATTAGACTGAGGTGTTTGCTTTCTTTGAATGATGTAAAATTGTAAATTTAGTGTTCAAATAAGTATTTATGGGGAACAAATGTAGAAGTGTAATTACTTTTAGGCTGTTCACTTGAAAGGTGTTATGTCTGTACACTCCACAACGAGTGTATGTGTCTGGCTTTGCATGGCTTTGCTCCCTCAAGTCAGTTTGGGAACATATACATAGTATTTCAACATATGATATGGAGTTAGGTGAAGTTTAGACTTTCACATTTCCTTTATGATTGAAAAATTATTTGCATACACTGTTCAAAAATTTTTAGTCTTGTTTCAGCAAAATCCTTGTTCTTACAATCTTTTTATCAAAAAAATGTAACTTATGACGACTGGTACTTCTAATCAAGAAGTACCAGAACTTAACCTGGAGGTGGTTAACTTACTATTTGTTTTAGAAAAATACATTATTATCTATTTTTCATTGGGATGTAGCAAAAATCTGTTTCTATTGAGAAGAAATAGATTTTGCCTTTGAATTACAGTAACCTGTGGGCACTCATTTTCCCCAAAGGTTTACATCCCTTGTTTTAACCCTTCATCCATTCCCTACTTTTTGGGAGGCATATTCCGTGCAAAGCTGGATGCAAAACTGTTCAGCTTCATTGCAAACAAACCTTGGGGCTATAAAAAAACCCCAACCCAACAAATAAACAATAACAACAAAACAAAACAACAAAAAACAAACAAAAAACCAACAAAAAAATCCCTGAACAAAAACCAATGTCTTTTTGGCTAATATTATTACTGATGTGATATAGATTAAAAAATTAATATATAACCCAGTGGTTATGAAAACAGACTGGCCATTTGTCGAAGAGTCAGTTTTATTCAGTTCCTTTCCTATAAGTACCTAAGGTGGTATAAAATATTATGTGTTGTTTCATGTTTCAATTCTTCAAAGCTGATCATGTAGGAATGGTATAGGATGGCAACCACAGCTTCGAGCAGAAGCTGCAGCCACGTGGGAGCATTATCAAGCAGGAATTTTACACAGGCGATCTCCTCACACCCACTGTCCTTCAGAACAAACATCCACGGGGCCAAGTGTTCAAAACCAGCTCAAAATTCCTATTCAGTGATTTATAGGTCTGGCTTAAGGGCATATTGAGTATTTGTCTTACAGTCTTTCTGAAAGCAAAATAGACATAATTTCAAAACCCAAAGATGCTTCCCAAATATGTTATCAAATCAATTGTAATTAGATATAAAATCTTATACAGAGAACATCCTTAGATATGCTTTGAGTTTTCTAATATGAACAAACACAATATTTTTTTCAAGCTGCTTAATCCACTTAATGAAAAGTAATGAGTAAAAGGGAGAGCTGACTATTCTGATACATTTTTTTGTCATTGATTATGACAGATTAAAACTGGGAATTACTGGCTGTCCCTGAATATCACCCCCTCAGGAGCCATTTATTTGCACTGGTCTTTGAGCTCTTAGTAACCAAGATACACTTCTTTCAAACATACACTTCTAAATTAGTTACAATTTGCACTTGGAAGAGGGATATTTGTGACTGACCTTTTTTGTTTTCTTATTTCTTTTGCTAATTTGTGAGGCTTTGATCGAAGGCTTACATATTTTGGGGTTATTTTGCTTTAGCAATGGTAATTAACATGTGTATATGATTAATGCAGTGGTCAGTCCACAGGAGGGTGTTAAGTAGAATATTTAGTGTCTTTTCACAGAGACTAGGTAACCTGCAGAGAAAAGCACCATTAGAAAAAGAATTAGAAACAATATTCCTCCTGCTGGAAACTTCTAAAGGATATCTTCTGCAGGCGCTCTGGACACTGGAAAGTGGCTTTTTGTGCAACTGTGAAGGCAGTTATTAGGTTCGGTCCCTGTTGATGCATGTTGCTACTGACTAGCTTTGTCATCCTGAGCTGAAGCTGCTGATCCAAGTTTACGTTTTTTTATGCTCTTTGGTTGCTACTGCACAGAGCTTTGAAGTATCACAAGTTGAAATACCACAAAGCTATTCTATGCCAGTCTAGATTACTTATGGGAAAGAGATCAAATAAAACCAATATAGATACTGCAGTTAGCAACACTGACATCATCACCAGTCCCCTTTCAATTCCTCTGACAGCTTTGAATCTCCTTTACTTGATCATTTGGAAATGGTATTAAATGCTGATGAGGCAAGACATAATTCAAGTCACCAAAGCCCTGTCAGTCATTCTTAGGGAATCAAACCTTTCTTTAGGGTATAGTTACCTGACATTAACTGCTCATGATATGGTGCCTGATCACAGCCAGGAACCTGTATCAATACTGCTGCATTCCTGCTCTGTGGAGTTGGGCAAACTGCAACATCTTTCATTTCCCTCCCATAACTGGGTCATGAACTGAATTTTTAGAGCTGTAGGAGACTGTATGTCTGAACAGAATCTTAATGTTGGTGTGTTCTTCTTCAAAGTGAAGGGTGTCATGGCTTTAAGATTCCAAATTTAAATCTTGTGGAAGCTGAGGTCATAGAGGTTCGGTGATTTGGATACTCTTTCAGATTCTCCCTTGCAGTTCATTTTTAGTCAAAGCTGCATTTCTTGCCCAGGAAAGAAATAGCTAATGATTACAGAAAGTCTAAGAAAAAACATTATGGAAGGAGACAAATGCATTTCATGTCCCCTTATCCATAGTAAGGGTGCAGATATCTGTTAGTGCATATTGTTTGCTAAATCCATTTCCATCTGCACAAATTTGGTAGTGTTAGTGTGTAGCAACTCTGATAATATCTGCTGGAAATATTTATTACAATACCTCTCACAGATGAAAAAACATTAGCATGAAACAGATTCTTTAGCCGTTTTGCCAAATTTTTATTAAGTATCAGCTACTAAGTTATAAAATTATAGGGCTTTAAATGTAAAATTATCTCATTGGATTATTGCTGCCTGACTTTCTGAACCAGTAGCACTATTTCTTGGAAATAAACAGTAGGATACAGGAGAGTTATATTTCTTAGATCATACCACCTCTGATTTGCTGATCTGTACACATCACTGGAAGACTAGAGGAGAATAAGTTCAGTCCAGGTACATTCACATTATGTCTTCTATTCGGTTTAAGACTTCAAGATTTTGTTTAGCTTTTCTCTACTCACCTAGCCATATTTTTGATTGTGAAGCAGGTTCTTCTCTACATCTATAAAACTGGCTTTAGTCAGTAAATTCTCTAATGACTGTTACAATACCTCCTATATCAATCTCTTAGTAGAAAGTAAGAGAACTTCAATAAAAATATGCTATATAAACCCCTTTTTAAAGATAAGACACTTCTATTAAAAAGTATCTGCCCCAAGGGAAATTTAAATCAAGATAACTAAAAGCACGAAAAATGGATTGTTTGAACTAAGTGCAAATTTTATCAGCTACTAGTTCTGAATACTTTGGGAATATGTTGCTTCAGAAATCACCTCATTTCTTCAGTATAGCAACTGTGTTTGTTAGGTATGGCCTGAAAAGACTAAAAGTCATTTTGGATTTGGAGTGCAGAAGTGCAGAGATCATCACACCACCCATCAGCATCAGATTCTTGTTGTTTTATGTTTCAGCTATGTAATGTTTAAATAAAAATAAATTAAGTGTTAAGCAGAAAGTCTTCCTGCCTTAGTGCAAATAACAACATACTCCTGGCATGACAATATAGCAGTTGTTAGCTCTGCGCTGGGGATGATCTCATAGTTGGTTTAATCAAAAAGGGACATGCGCTGTTAGAGGACCATAGCTATGGAAATTGGATCTTCTAGTGTTCTGCCAAGAACTTTCTTTGTTGTCCTGAGGGTCACATTGCAAGGCTCATTTTGTTGTGCTGGGGTTTTCTGAGTGAGAAATCACACAGAGTTTTGATTGTGAAGCCTCGGAAGGCTTTTCTTAGATGGACTGGGATGTGTTAAGGAAATGAGTGAACTAGTGTCATATTATATGTGCCTATTTTGTTCATTGGCTGTCTGTACCTTTTTTACCCTGTCTTCATTGTCTTCTTAATATTTAATCAAAATTCTTATTGCAAGAAGCAGATGTGCCTTCATACAATGTATCATGGTGTACATGCTAGGGTATATTTAGACATGGAATATATCTGGAGTACATTTTGATAGATGAGATGAAAATTGTATTTATTTCGTTTGAATTCTATTACTTTTCTTTAAAGAGTAAACAAATGCTCAGTAGATCTTATTGTTTTGTTTGCCCTTTTTTTTTTTTTTAGCATTGGGAAACCTCTTAGGAATCCACAAAGTCAAAAGTCTGCTTGTAAAAATATCTAGTGCCTTTACTCAAGTGCTTGTAAAAAATGCTGTTGTTTTTAGAACAACTGCTGTTGTTTTTAGAACAACAGGCTTTTCCAATCAGTAATGAATAGAATATTGAAACATGTATTTACATCAGTTTTATTAATTCTTATAATTTTTTATTACTATACTTTTCAAGTAATTTTCTGTTTCCTGTGTTTTCTAAGAAACAGGTCACATTCTATTAAGAAGAGGCTGTTATTGCAATCTAGAAGAAATCTCTTTTAGATGAAAAGGGAAAGATGCCTGGGGTGTCTAATGTGGGAATCTCTGTCATACTGTGTTATCTGGAAATAAGAATGAAAAGGCAGTGAGATCCAGCAGTTATTACCAAAGAAACTAGAGAGACAGGAATGGAAGAATCCTTCTGCCCACTTCCAGATGCACTCTTGGGGATCTAACATGTATTGCAGGAATTAAAAACATCCACAGGTGCTGTAGAAAATCCCCTAATTTGAGTCCAAATCCTGTTTGTGTTGTGTTCAATAGCAGAACTCCAACAGATTTTGAAGGGCCCTTATCAGAACCTTATTTCATAGCTCATGACGATGACTCTTTTCCCTTAAACCGGTTTTTATCCATTTCTGTGTGACCTCAAACCTTCTTGTACAACTTCACGAAACAGCAAAATATATTTATTGTGCAAACGGCAAAGTGAGGCAACACACTGTAAAAGTAACTCTATATTAAATGTTTTATTTTGCTGTTATGCAGTTCAGTTTGGTGCTATAAGAGTCACACAGCAATTCAGCAGATTTATGGCTTTACTGAAAACTGTGATGACATGTCCTTAAACTACTTCACTCTCATTCCAACGACTTGGCCTTTGTCCAATGCTTGAAAACCAAGTTATCCACAAAGTGATACAAAATCCATTTTGATTTAATGCAAGAGGACATTCTTCTGTCAAGTAGTATAAGTTCAAGGTCCATGGGTGCTTGATCCAGCCAGACACTTAGGCCTGCTTTTACCTCTGAGCTTGCAGCCTGGGCAAGCCTCATGCTTGCTTGCAACCCCATTGACATCCATGGGGTTCAGCACTAGTGCATATCTCCAAAGCTTATTGGTGCTTTCAGCAGGTGTAAATTAAAAACAGTCATTCAAACAAACTGCTCAATTGTAGTTTCATGAGCCACACCTCGTCTTTATTTCCTGTGAATATGTTTCTTCCAATGTGTTGCCTGTATCTCCTGATAGCGATGAACCATAGTTCACTTTGAGAGAGTTGGGAGTATAATTTCATCTCTTGGGAGTACTTTTCTCCTGAATGCCATGCTAGGAATGTATTAATATCTCTTTTATAGGCCAGAGGAATGTGGAATATGCATACTGACGGGGTGTTTGGAGCCCAGGGGAGGACAACTGAGGAAAGAGGCCGGACTGATGGAAATGCTCTTCCCTACAGGAGGTAGGAGTGGTGGAATTTGCTGTGCCACACTTTCATACTGAGCTTCTTCTCTGTTTTGCTAGTGGCATCCCTACACAATGTTATATCAGCTGTTCCCAACCCTTCACCAACACCATCCTCTTTCATGTGACCTTGCAACAACCCTGGGTGAAATAAAATGAACTGGATAGTACAGTTTCTTCCTGAACTTGCAAGACATAATAACAAGCTTGAAAACAAGGAGGCAAGAAAGAGAACAGATATTTATTTCATGCCTCTCTATTTTTTTAATTTTAGCTGTCATTTATGCTTTCTCATTTGTGTTTCTCTGGTATTGCTTGAAGCCCCATGGGTTGTTACAAGTTCTCGCTAATTAAGAAGATGATATATTTTTCTGGTAATTCTTTTTAGGCTCCTTGCTTTGTGTGGTCTAACTGTGGGTAGACTTTATCAGCTGTATGCTCTTTAATGTGCTCTCTATTTCTGCTAAATGGAAAAGTAAAAGCATATTAATATGCATTTTGCACTCTTTAGTCACAACCCTGTGGCTGTTGGTTGTTTTTCTTTTAAACATGGATTATTTCTCAACATTGCCAGTATTGTTATGAAAACTAGTTGTTGTCTTCATTGCCCTTGTAGCCCTTTTCCACTCAGAGCATTTATTTAATTCCCTGAATATAGTTATAATTCAGGTTGCTATTTAAAATACTGGAAACACCTAACTGAGGACAGGCTCCTTGGTTACACCTATATATACACATATATATGTATATATCTATCTCTATATCTATCCAGATATATATATATCTAAATATATATATGTGTGCATATTTCCAGTTAGTGAGCCATTAATAAGAACTCCTTGAACACAGTGTTTTCTCTAGTCTGTCTCCCCTGGTGTCTTATGAAAATGTCGAGGGAGACAGTGTTAAAAAACTTGCTCTGCTCAAACTGTGACATCTACTGCATCTCTTCTAGGCATGTGCCCTGTTACAAGAGAGCAAATTGGCTTATGTAACTGCTGCTTATGTTTTAGTCTAACTTAATCTATTTTGGTAAAATACCAGCATTTACATTTGCAGCATTGTATCCCTCCTTTCTCGAGTTCATGTTAAGCCTTCTGCTTTAAGCTTCCTGTCTCTCAGTAGTTATTTTAGCTCTCAGTGCTTGCTTTTCATTCCTGTTCAACTGTTGTGATGTGGTGATATTTTACCCATCGTATTTCTGGGTTGTGAGGTTTTTTGTTTGGTTGGGTTTTTTGGTAGGAATTGACTTTGTCAATTGGAAATATTTATTACTTGTAGTGTTGTACTTGAATATGAGTGTCAGCTCTTTTTGAGGTCACCTCAATCTGATATGTCTTCATCTTTGTTGTAGACCCTAAAAAAGATACAACTCTCAAAATTTAAAGCTGTATATGTGATATTTGATCTTGCTGGAGAGTATCCCTGTTATTTTTTAATGCCTTTCTCAGTCATACTCAGTAATAACTCAGAACCCGAAGTCCTTGTTAATATAGGCAGAATCCCTCTGGTGTCCCTGGGAATTTTGCCCTCAAAAATGAACAATTAGTGCAAGGATTTCTGTCTTCAGACAGTGGCTGAATGGGCATTTGGGCAGTGTGCTATTCAGGTTGCCAACCCCAAATTTCTCTCCCTGCCCAAGTCAGAGAACTGTCTGCAATTACTGCTACTTAAAG